TATGTTTCAAAGAATCTTCAACTCGAAGGTGTGCTCCGTTAACAATCATGTTATTAACACCGTCAAGATAAAATTTGGGTGCTCTCTGGGTGATCTCTAATGCTAAGCGTGCAAGTATGCGGTTGCCGACGTATAGATCGAGTTACATCGGAATCCATGTCTTCGTTTATATAAACAACTAGCTGTTGCTCGCGATTTCGCCCGCGTGAAATAAATAAACTTATAGCCTATGTTACTCACAAATAACGTAGCTTTTTAATGTTGGATGGAAGGTATGGCAATATGAAAACCATTACTTTAACATTCCACTGTCATGATATTTGTAGTGAGACAACGTTGACTCATTTTCCAGGTGGATGAGAGTAAGGACTTCAATTTTTATACAAATACAATTTCTTAGATAATGGAATTCCATGGGTAAAATCGTAATAGATGTTGCGGCTGTTTTCATTTTCTAGGAATATTCGAGAACCATTCAGCTATTTGCTAATAATCTGTTGCTTTCCACTTGAAGGGATTCTTAAGAGGCTTCGCGCTTTAAACCCAGACTACCTTGTTTTTATTGATACTTGAAAGGGATAATTGATAGAATTATATAACCAATAAATACCGATATTTCATTATGGAAATATCGATGAAATACGAACCATCATAACAATCTGATGCATGCACAAGCAAATTGTTGCAAGTTTGTTATACTATTGTAGTAACTATAAGTACATCATTTAAGAGCAAACTCAAAAGTTAATGGAACAAATCCCCTAGAAGTAAATACTCTCTTATTCTCAAGTCAAATCTCATTCTACGAAGTATTCAATACTTTGACTCTTCGATGTTTTCGCAGTCGCTAAGGCTTAGTTAATAAATACTGAAATAGTCTAAAAAGACAAATTATTTAAATAATTCAATTTATTACGTAGGATACGTATATGGTCTTAGAAACATGGTGTCATGGCGTGGTTCTGTGTTGCTATGATGCTGCGGAATATCAGGCAACGTCCTGTATTGTTTGGTAAAGTGCAGAGGGTTCCGATGAGTTCCACGGAGATTTCGGAACTTTCGATTGCACTACAGGCTTGCCACCGAGGGGGTTTTAGTGGGTACAAACGTGTCATAACCCTGTCTTTCCCCCAGAAGTGTATCTTTTTGAAAATTCTCTCCCGATAACATAGAAAAGGATACGTACATGAATAAATTAGCTTTTGCCCTATTTCGTTCAAAAAGGGTCATTAAGTAGCCTTAATGTCCTTCCAGATATGTTCTGTCTTTGCCAAACATCGAGATCAGTTAATCCCTTTTGAAGATAAATAATAAAAACATCCAACCATTCACGTTTCTGATTTCAGTAGAAAGTAAGATAATTTTGTAAAAGAAGTAAATATGATTACATAAAAGCAAATGCATTCTCGTCTCAAAGGACAGAAAGGAAAACATCAATATTATTATTACATAGTAGGTATGCTGTGAAGTGCGTTCATGCGAAACGAAGCTCGGGTAATACACGAGGTACACGGATGCAAACACGTTTGTCGCCTATGTACTCGCCTTACCGAGATTCCATAAATTCGATTTCCTTCCTTCTTTGTAAAGTGCTTTAGCAGATAGTGGCCTGATGTTCCTTTTACATTTTACTGCGCGCGATGCCAGAGATGCATCGAATGGCGTAAACAAAATAGACAAAAATGTACTTTAAATTCCATTCGATATTCTAATGTACTTTTAAAAGGAAAACATCGCCTTGGCACAGCTTAATTCGGCCAGACACTACATGATGTTATTGAATAAAAAACTTAATGTTAGATAATTACTCGCTCAAGTCTTTTTTAATACAATGTCATTTTAACGTAGAATGTGTTATGTAATACGAGCTGTTGCCCGCGACTTCGTCCGCGTGGTATTAGAAAACATACGAATTATATAAATAACAAAAAGCTACGTATCCCTCGGGAACCGGACATTTCTCGGGGATGAACCTCATCCCATGTGTACTCCAGACTTTGTTTTATATCTGTGCCAAATTTCAAAAGGATATGTTGAACCGTTGCAGAATGATCGAGTAAACATTAAAAAACCAAATTAATGAATCCCACTGGAACCGAAACTATCCCCGGGATAAAAAGTACCCTATGTGTTTTTCCAGACTATGCTCTAAACCTGTGCCAAATTTCATGGAGAGCCGTTTAGCCGTTTAGGCTACAAACGCTAACAAACATCCATCCATCCATCCATCCATCCATCTAAACTTTCGCATTTATAATATTAGTAAGATTTGAATATGTTTAAGAAATTGTGTTATCTTTTTCGGGTGTATTTATGTGTTTCAATTTTTTGTTGATCATCCAATAACCTCACATCAATTTACGGTTACATAATTCTGTTCCATTTTGTGCCGCACACCTTTATCGACCATCCCTTTTTCATTCATCGGTTTCAAGTGATCTATAAGAAAATATTTTGTATGATTAAATTAAAATATAATTGATGGAAAAACGAAACCTTAAAGAAAAAAGCACGAAGAAAAATGTTCGTCTAACTTGGAAATCGAAAAAAACATCTTGAGGTTTTCTTTGGAACTCGAGAGTTCGAATTGAGATTCCAAATGGCATTCGGAATTTAAATTGGAATTAGAAAACTAGTTTGGAATTAACTGAAAGTTTCTAATGACGAAACATCTATAAAAAATATTCTGTTATTCAAAAAATGTATTAAAAAAACGACAATTGACATGGCCCGTTACTTAACTAACTATGAAGTTTGAACTTTTCTACCATTGAAATATTTTTTCAACTATATTAAAATTAAGTTCTTGTATTATTACGTTTACTATTATTCTTATCTATAAGCGTATTGACAGTATTGTTAATATTATTATGTTGAAATTTTAAAATCTCTCAAGACTAGCGCGTTCGACGAATGTTTGTACTCTTGTACGACTTAGCACAAATTTTAAATAGAGTAACATTTGTATACGAACACTATTCTTATCTCTGTTTTTATTAAATACGATGAAAGGGATGTCAATATTGTCGTAATGCGACTGCTACCACATTGGGACTTTCACGGACTTTATTTAAATATTTATTAACTCAAGCGTCTCTCATGACAAGTTTGAATATTTAAAATGGTTAGGTCTGTGAAATGTTATTGTGGAATGTTAAATCCGAAATGCTTATATTAGTGTCTGAAAATACGTTTTCAAAACGAAATAGTACATAAAAAATGTGCGTTGGACAGTTTTTGAAAATTTTAAACATTTCACAAAACAGTAATCAATGTCTTTTTATAATATAACGTGGCAAACGAGCAAGCGGCCACCTGAATCCACCAAGATGGAAAGCGTCTTCTGCCCATAAACATCCGCAATTGCAGATGCGTTGCCTACCCTTCATTGACGGAGGAGGAGACGCACATAAAGAGGAAATTTAATTCATCATCATCATTAAAAAATATTAACAAAGCTTCACTTGGTCTTTATTAGATATAGTTAAAGTCTGTTTGAAAGCAATAAAGTTGTTTTAGAATAAGATTAATATTTACGTTGAACCAATGTTAGTTTAAAATTTAATTGGAACACAAATTCACTACACAAAAGATCTGGAACACAAATGAATTGTGTTTGTATTTTGCACGGTTTATTGCAACAGCGTACCTGTAAATTCTACGGTAGTTTCCTCGAACGTCCGCAAATTTGAATTTTCGGTTAACTATTAATTGAGTTACCGCCAATAACAATAGTCTATCTATGCTTTTGTTCTAGCTAAATTACTAGCCTGTTGGTTTAGGCTTCTGTTACAAGAAATTACAATAGTTATGTGGAATATGACAGAGTGACTTTTTGTCAATTCTCGATCGACACATCAGATACTAAATTGTGAGTTTTTATATTGATAACAGTAAAATAACTTCATAAAAAATTTAAGGTAACTAGCACAATTTTCGATGTATGTTTTTACCATTTGATTTTTTTATTGTAAACCTGTTAACTCGGCCAACTATAACGGATTATTAACTACCCGGAAAAGCTTTGCGAACTTTCCACATAATGCTCACATGCTCGTGTAACTTTACTATTTCCCAACTTTAATACGAATTTATCACTAGATCGGATGAAGTGCTAACGTATTATCACTTGATGGCATTAAGTTTTGATTGACCTTTTGTACAGTGTCCCATTAGTGCCGAAATTAATATGCAACAATGTTAGAACTTTATCTATCAACGAGTATTACATCTCAATTTCCTTGTTTCAATCGATGGTCAATTGACATTTACAGAACCTAATTTATTTGAATGTATATCAGTAAACAAGCAATCAACTGTTTTCAAGTAATTTATTTACCCAAATGTTTTTATAATAGTATTTCAATATTTCTAAAAATACCTTCTAACATATTTCAAGTCTGATATAAAAGGTCTTAAATAATGAAATCGTTGCGGACTTCTAATAAAACATCAAAATAAAAATTTTATCGATAAAATCTATTAATCGAAATTGTTAAGGCTCCTGGAAACGACAGGTTATTAACTCTCATAATTTTGTACAATATATTTTTCCAGTTTTTAATTGAAATTTACTTCTTTCTTTAAGGTTCCTAAAAATGCAATATGAAATTGCTAGCGCTTTTAAAATTAAAACATTTACATTTTTCTAATAAATCATTTTGCCTTCCACATCTACTGCAGTAGCTTTAAAATGTATTGATCTCAATTGCATTATTGGAAACGCTGGGCGTATGTATACTGCGTTGCGACATTATATTACCGTAAGTTTTTACTGCCGAAAAACTTGTCACTTTGTCATTAGATCAGTCTGTTAAAAAAACAATCAAAGATCGCATGACAAGCTTGCATAACTACTTATAAAATCATAGATGCGGTTTCATCCTATAGACAATACTCAAATACAGTGAAACTGTAAAAGGTACATAGTAGTGGGACATGTAGATTTAGCCATAATTTGTTTATTACTGTCTGCTGTACAATATGCGAACGTGTTACAGATATCGACTACAACTATGAAGAGGAAGATACAAGTGACGTCGATAAAGAACTGCGTCCAGTAATTCGTCGCACTGCGAAGCATATAGCCGCCGGTGAGGAGAGGCCGAGAATCAACTCAAGTCAACAGACTACGCCTATTGACGGTAAGTCATTGTTAAGTAATCTCCCCGGCAGATAAAATAATGTATCATTTAACAATAGCGATTAACTCGTCTGTTAAAATAATATATAAAAACTGCTGCAATAAATTGACGAGCGAATTATGAATCGGATGTCGGCAATTCATCGAAGCTACTTAATTTTCGATATGGAATGGAATTTAAAACAATTTATGATGGAATGTATGAAACATTCAATGTTATTTTGGTTGTTATTTTACCGATAAATTGAAATACTTTAAAACACAATAGTGCTCTTCGGGAGATGCGAAATGAACGGCATCAAACAAGATCCTCTGTTTGTATATTTAAACTGAGTAGAATGAATAAATTAAATTTCGTGCCAAGTTAAATGTGAGTTTATTGCGACTTTGGCAATGACTTAAACAGTATTAACATTAGACGTAAACAAATGACATTGAAATTGCTCGATTGCAGAGGCAATGTCCCATAATGCGCCTCTCTTATCTTTCAAGCAACCCGCAGTGTTATGTTAATTAGTCGGCTTGGCTGGCACCGGCGGCGTGATATCAAAATACCTTACACCGTGTATTTCCATGTTTATATCTTTTTCAAATTATATTTTACACAAAAATATGTGAAGATATGGTTAAGCGTATGACCATTTATTGTCATTCATCATTCATTTAATACAGTCAGCAATCTAAAACACAGTAGCCGTAAAACAGTGAAAGGAAAAATAGAAGAAAATGATTTTTTTATAATAACATAATGTTTTATACATATTATGATACTGATTATAAGATTATTAATAATTGCTTATATATATTAAGACTATTTTTGCCACTTAAACATTATCAAATTCAAGGTTTTACAACTTGAAGATAAATCAGGTTTAGAAAGAAACGTTAAATTCTCGTTGATAAATTGTACAAAATCTTGTTAGGAATAAGCTGTATTATGTTTAAAAAGATAACTGTCTCATATTATTTAATAACGTAAACATCTCTTGATGTTACAACACACGGGAGCTAATACCTATTATCCGATAATAAGCTCTGGGAAGATGTGAAGCAATTTCAACATAATTCGTTCACGAAATACTTTGTACCCGCTGTGTATTTAGATCGTTTACTTTATCGGACGATTTTTTTCATAAAAACCATTTTGTGTACGTTAAAGAATTAAGTTTGTTCTTGTTATTTTAGTACATTAAAAATTCACCTTTTACTAATTTTATTTCTTATTTAATATTATATATGCGAAAGTTTAGGTGGATGGATGTTTGTGAGAGTTTGTAGCTTAAATAATTTTAGTCAAAAATATAATCTTTATTTGTCAATAATATAGATCCAACTTACGTAGGACCTATCTATCCATGTTAACAATTTTTTTATAGTAGAAAGTTTTTTGTATGACTTAAACTAGTTTTTTCGTTTCCTAGTTTGGTTTTTTTTTTTAATAAAATAAGACAATATGAAGGTTTTTTAGAAAACTCAACTCATAGAAATAATTAAATAGGTAATAAGGTATTCATATTGAAATTTGATCAAGGATTGTGATGGGATATTTTCTTTAGTAATACGTGTAACTATTAAGTATTCATTTATTCGATAACTGAAATCGAAACATCTGTTTGAAATAACGTTGCACACTTTATACATTGTTTCCATTTGCATTGTTATTCAATGCTCATAAATGTTGAATAAATTTATATTAAAGTAGAGATAAATTTTGTCATTTACAGATATATTTATACATAGTCCGAAAAAAAAAATCGATTAATCTTTGTCACATATTGTCAAGGCGTATTTAAAATGCAATGTTTCGTTTATTTAAAGAAAAACTCGAAAAGACTTTTCAAATATAAAAGTCTGAGAGTTCAAAGAAAAAAAGATTTGAATAACACAACCCTCATTAACCGTTTCGTTTACTTTGTCTATATTTCAATAGTGTAAATTTAAACTCTTCCCAGAACTGACATAAATAAATTAAAAACACTACGTGGTAGTTGAAAAAACAAGGAAAGGGTTTCCATCCCAACCAAAATAAACACTAATTACGTATTAATGAAGTTTGTTATTTTCAAAAGTTACAACAGTTTAATCTCCAATCTTATCTTACTAATATTATAAATGCGAAAGTTTAGATGGAAGGACGTTTGTTGGAGTTTGTAGCCTAAACTGCTAGACGGATCTCGATCGTAAAAATTTGGTATAGACGTAAAAGATAGTCTGGAAGAACACATAGGCATCTCACTTTTGTTTTTTTTTTCCACGGGAACGGAATCGCGAGAGAAAGCTAGTAGTGTTACAAAGAGGAAATATTTTTACGTAACAAACTCGATAACTTCTTCATCAATGTTTTATATATTTTGCCAGCACGTTTGCTTTACTCGTATATTGCTGTAGAGTCTACCATGGTTATTCGATTCTCAATATAGCTTATATTAAATTTCAATAATACATTAATATACTGCTACAATATTCCGGGAACGTTACCTGAAAATGTTAAGCATATTTATTACTGTTTTATGCATTTATTTGCTTATTTTATTGTATATTATTACAACAGACACCACAAACCCGGGTAAAAATACTGGGAACTTATCGGAGGTTTCATTTTATCAGGAAAAATAATGTTTGGTTTTTAAATAATACCATTGTGTTGTCCACTTTTGTTACTTTTTTTATCCTGTAAATCCTGTTTAAATGAAGAATCATTTAAAATTGCCTTTTTTGTCCACGTGGAATTAAAAAAAAGCTAAAACGACGGGGATATATGTTTTTCAAAACTGTCCTCTAAATCTATACCAAATTTCATCGAAATCCGTTGAGCCGTTTAGGCTACAAACTCTAACAAACATTTATTTATCCATCCATTCATCTAAACTTTCGCATTTATAATATAAAAAGTAACAAGTTACAAATTTATGGATCAAATTGTTGTGTGTACTACGTCGTAGCAAGTATCGGTGTATGGGACTAGTAGCGTTGTTCAAAGCGGGATGTGTTCGACGCTTCACGCCCCACCCACTAACAGACGTTTACCTTTTGAAACCTTGTTGCCTGAACTAATTGATAAAGGGAGTTAAAACAAGCCGCACCTAGCCTGTGTATTGAACACGTAGTTAATTTATTACTGCAAAATAGTAAACTTGCTTTGCAATTTATGGTAGTATTTATTTTTAAATAAATGATTTTAGTAATTGTGACTGTTACAAAATTATTTAGTTACTAAATCATGGATTTTATCACATTTAGGTACAAATAAAGTATAATTTTTTATCATAAAGAAAGAGTTTGTTAATATTATTCTCAACTTAATATTTTGTCTGTGACTTGGCTCGAGTCATACCATAGTAATATATTGGTTGCAAAATTGCAGGTTTAAAAACAGTCTTTTTAAGAAGTTCTAAAACATTGGTACTTAAGCGGTCGCTCGTCGAAGATCCCTGCGTTCCTTCACCTCCACAATCGATTTGCGACAGCGAATTCAGCTCGGATAAAAACCAGATTGAACCAGACTGAGATGTTTTAAAAGCAAAGTCAGCTTATTCAGCGAGCGGTTACTGTAAATAAAGTGCACCTTTCGGTCTGGGATAATTGAGGTCGTTGCTAAAAAATAGTTTTAGAAATTCAACCGAATTCATAATTGTTCATATAATTATTTTCGCTTCTTAATCAACGGCGATGGAAATAAATATGGTAACTTAGAACAATACTTATCAAGAAAATTCAAACCAGAAATATCTTTTATAGATAGATAGAGATGTGCTAACCGGTGCACTATCGTAAAATTTGTGAAATTAAAAAGAAAAACAATAAGATTGTCTAATGTATGACGCACATATGAAGTACAATCTTACCTTTCCATATGGGTAGTAGGAAGTGGATTTAGTTTCGGCCTCTGGTACAGTTAACAGATAGTACGAATTTATTTCCACTTAACGCCTCGTGTGGTTGTTGTATTGCACCGGTCAAACGGAACATTCGTGCTCCAGCAAATACTTCTGTATGAGTAGTTTATCTCAGGAGTTGAACAGTGCTCGTCTACAGCTTATTCGGCTCTTAGTTCTAAAGTGCCAGCGCTGATGAGCTCTTCATTGATTTCATCGTTTTAGATTCGTTCGACGTAATAACATTCCAAGGTCTTTTTAAGCAAGGTCAGGTCACAGGTCGATTGGAAGCTGCATACTAATTAATCTACTTTAGGCCTTCTATATGTTTATATTTTATACATACTTCATGTTTGTAGTGTTTTGTTTCAGTCCGGAAATAGACTGGAATGAAATTTCCAGAATCTTTACTGTAAAAACTTTTTTCTTTGCTCATTAATCAAAATTGCTTATTGTTTGCGAAATGTAATCAAAAACTACATCAGGTAATCACTTTGTGAATTCCAAAAATATTGTAGGTATTTAATTGAAAAAACAATCATTTAATTGTAAAATGCCGTTGGCCACAAGCGCTTGTTGGAATGTAATCCATATCACGTGCGGGTGAGTAAAGACCGCATTCCCGTCGTTCAGCCTTTAGCAGACTGGTGCGAAAGCGAAATGAAATCGAAGCAAAACGAAGTTTAATACGAAACTCCCGTACTGTTTTGTGTATGTCTAAATGCATGCTATACGAACTCGAATCTTACTACCATAAATGCGAAAGTTTGGATGGATGGATGTTTGTTAGAGTTTGTAAACTAAACGGTTGAACGGATCCCGATGAAAATTGGCATAGATGTAGAGGATAGTCTGGAACACATGGGCTACTCAGTTTTGATTTTTTAATCCCACGCGGAAGGAGTCGAGGGCGATAGCTAGTATGTTATACTGCGTTTTGGGTATAATAACACTAATTTTGCCAGAATTTCGCTTCGGTTTTGATTCGCTATCACGGCTGTGTATCAAGCGTCAATCGGATAGAGCTTTGATGACCGCAGCAAGCGGATTTCAATTGATTAATTACTGATTCACAGAACTTGGCTATTTGTGTGTCGGACTAAAGCGTGAATAATCTACACTAGTA